AGATGTTTGTTTTTGGAGTTTTTAAAGTTTAGGTACTTCCTGGGCACTGAGGGTATGAATTTGTGAATCCTAGAATATATTCTGAGTCCTCTCACTTGGTGTTCTTTTGTTATTAACCTGCAAATTAAATTTCTTTTTAAAATTTGGTATCTCCTATCCACTGGTCACTCCCCAGATGCCCACAAGAATAGGACTGGGCCGGCGCAAAGCCAGGAACCCAGAACTCAGTTCAGGTCTCGTGAGGGGCAGGAGCCATCACCTGCTGTCTCCCAGCGTTGCGTTAACAGGAAGCTGGAACTGGGGAGTATCAGGTCTCAGGCCTCAAACACAGATTCCCAGTATGGGCTGTGTGTCCACGCGCAGTCTTAACCATTGCACTAAACTCCTGTTCACCGTGACTTTTTAAAAGGTTTTAAAGCTTGTGTTCATTAAAGTATGACATCGATCCCTTACTGTAGTGTGTCGTCCCCAGAAGTCATTCTGCACTGAAGCTGGGTTTCCTCCTGCTGACCTTCGAGTTCTGTTCTAGGAATCAAAGTCCAAGCTCTGAGAGTGAGCGACTGACTGTGCGGGCAGCGAGAGCAGAAGGCAGGTGCCTCGTTGGCACTTCCCGACAGCACCCGGCAGCTTGGTGGGTCCAGAGCCATTTTGTCTGCTTCCTTCTCTGTGGGAGGCTCTGTGCTGGCCTGGCCTGGCCTCAGCAGCTGGGGCAGGGACACCCGGGCGTGCTCTCCTCACGGGACTGCTGCTCTCCTGGGCGTGGCTGGGAGCTGTGACCTCCCCGTGGCACATGGAGCCCAGGCGTTTGCTTTGCAGGAGGCCACGTGGCCCCTGAGTTGCTCTCGCTGTGAAGCCCCGTTGCTGAGAGGGTCCACCCTGGGAGTGAGCGCTGGGAGCCCGGCTCGGGGTGCGCCTGTCAGTTACGTCCAGGAGGGGCTGGGCAGAGAGGTTCTGCACCCTGAGGCACTGGGCTCCCCAAGGGGAAGCGTGAGGCACAACCACGAAGCAGGCAGGTGGCAGGTTGTATTCCAGAGACAGAGAGTGTATGATTTCTCTCTGAAAGAGGGTGCTGTTAAAATATATCTTCAAGGACAAACAAAATAACAGACATGAAGAATGCAGCAGAGGTATGGAAGGTGTACTTGAAAAGTCCCCCAAGAAGTAGAGCAAACAGAAATGGGAAGTAGCAGAGAAGGAATGGGGGAGCGGTCCCGGAAGACCGGTGACAGTGTCAGAAAACGTGTCCGTGGGGCTCGCGCCGTTTTCCGGTTCTGATAGGGAAATGATTCAGGAAGGGTCACACGGTGGGCGACAGCTGGGTGCCACCGCATGTCACAGTGGTCAGTGGTCACAGGGCTGGGGGCACCTTTCCAGCATTTGGGAGTACCCAGTCCAGGTGCGTTCTCTATCGAAGATGATTAACAGCGTACAGAGAGGAGAGAGAATGGAGCAGAGTCGATCCATTTGTCTTTGCTTGCTTTAGTGGTTCCGGGTCTGAGCTGAGAAGGATGGGAAATGTGAGGAGTGAAGAGAAGAACCAGGGTGTTGCGGGATGGGAAGTGACAGGAGTTTTCCAGGGAATGAATGAGATTCCCAAGTTCCCACTAGCGCACGCTGCGGGGCAGCAGTGACGGCTCACGTATGCCACTCACATGGGAGATCAGGATTGAGTTCCAGGCTCCTGGCACAGGCCCAGCTGTTGGGGGGCATTTGGGGAGTGAGCCAGCAGATAGATGATCCCGTCTGTCTGTCTTCCAAATAAAAATTAAAGACTTTTCAAAGAAATGAATGGAAAAATGAGATTCTGGAAAATCAACAACATGTGCCAAGTTTGGAAATGGCACCTTTTAAGTCAGATGTCAGGGGCTATGATGGGTGCCTTGCTCTGTGTCATCTTAGTTCACCCTTAGTTCTTAAGGGGGAAGTGGTGGCACACCCCCCCCCCCGTGCTGTCTGGTGAATGTGGCAGGACAGGAGTTGAGAACCTGGCCCACCAACCCCCAGTCCAGATCTGTTCCACTTGTCCCTGTTGTCAGGGAGCCAGAAGTGGTTACGTAAGCTCCAGAGGGCAGGCCCTGGCTCTCGTTCCTGCCTGGCACGTGGGTGCTAGGACTCTGTTCACTGGGTACTGAGTGTGTGCGTGATAAACCAGGGGCTGGCTGGCTCTGCGTTCTGAAGACGGGCCGTGACTCCCGGAACTCGCCTGCCCTGGGCGAGGCTTTCCACTCTGTGGGTGCAGATCACTGTACCTTGAGTTGTCAAGTGCTCTTAGGGTTGGTGGAACCTTGCTACACGCACCTGATGGAGGCTGGTAGGTTGGCTGGGTGGGATCACTTAGGAAAGCAGTTTGTGAGTTCAAAGAAAGAATGTTAGCATTTTTTAAAAAGCTTATTTATTTATTTTGAAAGAGTTGCAGAGAGAGGGGGAGAGACAGAGAGAGCTCTGCCATCCTCTGGCTCACTCCCTGGGTAGCCATAATGGCCAGGGCTGGGCCAGGCTGAAGCCAGGAGCTTCATCCAGGTCTCCCACGTGGCTGGCAGGGGCCCAGGGACTTGGAGCAGCTGGGACATGAACCTGTGCCCATAGGGAATGCGGGTGTCGCAGCGGCAGCTTTACCCACTGTGCCACAGTGCCGGCCCCGTTAGTGTTGTTTTCACCTGGGGCCGGCACTGTGGCGTAGCAAGGTAAGCCTCTGCCTGGAATGGCGGCATCCCATATAGGCACCAGTCGAGACCGCTGCTCCACTTCTGATCTGGCTCTTCACTAATGCGCCTGGGAAAGCAGCAGAGGACGGTCCAAGTGCTTGGGCCCCGGCACCCACGTGGGAGAGCTGGACTGAGTTCCAGGTTCCTGGCTTCTGCTTGGCCCAGCCCTAGCCATTACAGCCACTGGGGGAGTGAAGCAGAATATGGATGATACCCCCCCTCCCTCTCTCTTCCTCTTTATATCACTCTCAAATAAATAAAAAGCGAATCTTGAAAGTTCTCATTGGCAGCTCTAAGTTAACACTTCAGAGCACCTGCCGGGACACATCAGGATGTGATGACACTTTGTGATGTCCCTCTGTGCTCCTCAGTTGGTCACCCAGTGCTTAATGATTTAATGAATATATATGTGTAGACTGCAGGATCCGGGAGGGAGGCCTGCTTGCACAGGGTGAGAAGTGAGCACATTCGTGTGGGAAGCAGATTCTCAGGCATGTTCTCCGGTGTGAATTAGTGTGCGTGTGTTGTATAGGGTTAATTTCCAGAGTGGAACTGCCTCGTTGCTAGTGCAGTGCTGGTTCTGTGGGAGCGTGCTCAATGGAGCCCATTTCCAGAGTATTTAAGGAAGTTTAATCAGCGATCCCTGGAGACTGACCTGGGCTGAAAAACGCAGTGACATAGGCTTGCTGTACAGACAGTATGCAGCGAGTCAGCTGACACTGGTGTTAGTTTCGTGATCTGCAGGAAACGCGCGGTGATGGTCTGCCCGGCACACCTTGAACGCTATGGTAAGCCCTCTCTCCGGTGGAACTGTGAGTAGAGAAGTGTTCTGGCTAATGTCTGCCGCAGCTTTTAAGAGTGTGCAGAGGCGTGAGCAGCTGCCCCCTGACCATCTGCTGGGCCCCTCTGAACGGTGGCGGCGTGAGGTGGACGGCGTGTTGACTGAGTTGTTTATGATTTGCTGATCGCATTCTCATCTGTTTCTTGCTGTCAAACTGTGTAACTGTGGGGTTTCTTGTCTAGGATCTCTGTAGGACTGTGCTGAGTCATTCTGAGTTAAGTGAATGGGATGAAGTTCTATTTTTAGCCCTGAAGGCCCATGAGGACACCGGGTTAGCTGAGAGACAGCCGGTTCCGTGCATCTGTCTGAGCGGTGCCACCAGAAGAGACTTGATGCCAGTTTAAATAGGACTTTAGCCACGGAATAAACCTGAAGTTTCTAAGAAATGTGTTCAGCCTTTTTGTCCACATAAGAGATTTTCCTTCCCTCACATGAGAAGCAGTGTCGTGAGAGCTTATTCACATGAGCCGGTTGCCAGCATTCCTGCCCCTCCGAAGGGGGCTCTCCTGAGGCCTCCCTGCCCGTGTGCACGGGCTCACGCCAGCACCGAGCGAGCTCTCGCACTCACTGCCCGTGGGGGTGGGGTTCTGTTCTGCCTTCTCTGGCCATCACGAGCGTTCAGAACTTCAAAGAAGAAGGAGGTCACCCTGTTTTCTTTAGATTGAGAGCTCCTAGAGTGCCTGTGAGGTTTTGTTTTTTATTTTTAAAGATTTATTTGTTTATTTGAAAGGCAAAGTTACAGAGAGGCAGAGAGAGAGAGAGAGAGAGAGAGAGAGAGAGAGAGAGGGACAGACATATTTTCCATCCTCTGGCTCACTCCCCAAATGGCCAAAGCAGCCAGAGCTGGGCTGATCCAAAGCCAGGAGCCTGGAGCCTCTCCCAGATCTCCCGTGTGGCTGCAGGGGCCCAAAGACTTGAGCCATCCTCTGCCGCTCTCCCAGGAGCACTAGCAGGGAGCTGGATCGGAAGTGGAGCAGCCGGGACTTGAACCGGTGCCCATGTGGGATGCCGGCTCTGCAGGCGGCAGCTTTATCTGCTCCGCCACAGCACTGTCCCCACCCATGAGGTTTTGGTGGCTTGTATTGGGTCTGGTATAAGACCTTGTTCACAGGGGTACTTGGTGGTGCTGACTTTTGGCCGTCCCGTGGGCTTTTGGGCTGTTAGTCTGTCCCTGAGCAGGGTGGTATACCTCTGGGAAGACAAAAGCCATCCTGGGAGGTACGCTAGTGTTTCCACCTTTACCAGTACATCCCATGTAACGTCCTTCATTGTAAAATGGCACCGATGTGGACCTACAAGCCTGTGATTTTGTCAACTCTGGCGTCATTTAGGGGTTGACGTTGCGTTTCGTGGGGGACAGGGGATACCTGCAGGGGTGTCTGCATTAGAGCGGACGTCGTGAAAGCCTGCCTGCGTACCTGCCAGTAACCTCCCGTGTGTGTCTTGTCACGCAGAGCTCCGGCATCGAGACTTTAGTGGAGGAGCTGTGCTCCAGGCTGAAGGACCTTCAGAGCAAGCAAGGTGAGCATGCTGCCGCAGAGGCGAGCGGCACGCCAGGACACGGAGGTGCCCTCCCCAGGGGAGGTCTTGGAGACTGTGCCGTCTGCGGCCCCGCGGGTGACTTCTCTGCCAGCCCTTCGCGTCGCTCCTGGCATCCCTGCTCCTGAAGGGGCAGCCCCATCCAGGGCGCCCTCCCGGGCAGGGCGTCTTCTGCCCGCCCGCTCCTGCCGCGGGTGAAGCTCAGAGATCGGGAGCAGTGTTTCCTCTCCCTGTCCTTGCCCGCTGTAATGCCTGCCTGTCAGAATTAAGGCCTCCGCCAGTGTTGACGCTGAAATGTTTCAGATTTGGAAGAAGCTTTTGTCTTGGTTGGAAGTTTCTAAAAGGCAGGCCTGACAAGCTCGTTAAGTCCTCTCTGACACGGGAGCCCAACAGCTGCTGTCCCCTGCCCCTCGCAAGCCCTGAGAGAGGGCCTCCTCTCTGCTCCCTCCTCCGTCGTCTTGCTGCCCACCACGCCTTGAGACCTGTGAAGGGCATGGGCTGTTTGCTTATTTTTAATGCAAGACAGTGCCCGGGGCTAAGCCAGGAGTGTACAGCCCTTAGCTCTTGTTCACATACATGTTAAGTAACAGCTAATGGTAATGAAGACTTTCCTTTCTAGATTAGCATTAGTCAGAATGAGTCATCATAAAGTCTGAGTGGAGAATTTTTAAGAAAGTATTTTTGGAGTCTAGACAGATGTTCTCTCCTTCTGGTCTAATTAACAAGTGCGCAGGAGACTTAAGTCTCTTAATTAAATGTATTGGAGGTGGGATGGGTGACTCTCACTGCGTGGCCTAGTGCTCCGTGCTTTAGCCAGAGAATTCCCTCTGGAATTCATGGAGGCAGGTTTTCATTAAACAGGCAAACTGCTGTAGAGTTCTCTTTTTAAAGGCCAGGAAAATCTCTGTCATTCCTGGTTAAAGTTACTGTTGCAAAGCACGGGCATCTGTTAACTAGGTTCAGGACAGATTCTCTCCATTTTTGTTTCGTAACAGAAGAGAAGATCCACAAGAAGTTCGAGGAGTCTCCCTCTCCAGAGGCAGAGTTGTCCCCCACAGCCAAGGATCAACTGGAAATGTACGTACGACGGCGTTCCGTCCTGAAGTGTGCGTCCACGCCAGCCAGTAACCGCCACGCGGTCCTCGTTTTCCTGCCGTCGATTTAGCTTCAAATGCCGTAATCGAGGCAGCCTCGCGCACTGTGTGCTGGACACGGTGCAGACGTGAATGCGATGGTGTCTGTGGTGTGCAGTGGGTGCTTGTAGAGTGGATGGAATGAGGAAGGGGGTCGATCACGCAGCGCAGCCGCCGCCTCGGGAGCTGACGCCGCTTGTCCACCCCGAGGGCAGGGCGCTGCCGCGGCCGGCTGCGAGGGCACAGTGGGCAGGCCTCCACCGCACCAAGCCTGTTCCCGAAAATGCTTTCAGTTCTCTCACAGTAAACAATTAGTATTAAATAAGCTGCCTTATTAGACATTTTGAAAACTTTCCTGAACCTCTAAAACCTAAGGAAAAAATGACCTTTAAGTGGTTTGTGTAGACGGGCCCTGTGCATCCCGCAGTAACTGCGAGCTGCATGACTGGTGAGCACTTGCGATGGGGCTGGCCGAAACAGCTGTGCTGAGAGTGCAGCTTGCTGCCTGGACCTCGGAGACTTCGTTATACAGAAGTGTACGATACTTCAGTAGTGAGTTTCTCCGCTTGATTCCGTGTTAAAGTATTACCACTTGTGAAAGTATTGGTTAACGTATTGGATAATATGTTGTGTATGTATTGGAATTCATTGCACCTGTTTCTTCTTAAGCTTTTAACGTGGCTGCTGGAACGTTTAAACTTCATGTGCACCTCACAGCACGCTCGTACAGGACACCACTGCCACAGATGGGCGAGGAGGGTGATGCCCGGTCCTTGTAGACCTGGCCTGTACCACTTCCCACAGGACCTCGACTGCTGCCCCCAGAGAACCGGCCCCTGAGTTGCCCACGTGGCTCCTGGCCCCAGACTCTGCTTAGACATTTTCCTAGCACATAAAAACAGCTCCTTGTTCTCAGGCCCGCCCAGAGCAGCCTGCCTGGCTTCTCTCTCCTGTTCTTGTTTCCGTCAGTTACTGGTCCCGCAAGGATGTCGCGCGTGTGGCCTCACGACGCGCTGGGTTCCCATGCTGTCTGTCTGGCACCGTGAGAACCAGCTGTGGCCCACGTTCCGTCCTCTCTGCTGACCGCTTGACTGTGACCATCCGTGTGCCCTCTGAGGGTCTGTCTCGGTGATGACAGCCACTGTCTGTTTCTGTACGCCTCTCAGCCCGGAAGTAGGTGTAATTGTTGCCCCTAGTTTGTGGATGAGGAAACGGAGCCACACAGAGGTTAAGTACCAGGCCTAAGGTCACACAGGTGGTCAGTGGGGAGCCAGGGCCCAGCCTCAGGGAGGTGGCTTCAGAGTTCAGCTGCGGCTGAGTGCGGTCCGGCTTTTGGCTGCGTGTGTTTGCAGTGCTCCGGCAGCCTTGTGGGGTCAGTCCCAGGGTCCTGACTTCAGAGTCGAAGTAGACCAGAGCGTTCAGCGACGGGCTTCAAGTCGTCAGCACAGAAAGGGGCCAAGCTGAGACTCCAGTTGAGGCATTTCTTACTGAAAAGACGACATTATTTGTACTGCATCATCTGTGTCACTGTCTTGTCTTGTCTTGTCTTTTTTTTTTTTTTTTTTTTTTGCAGGCAGAGTTAGAGACAGAGAGAAAGGTCTTCGTTTCCGTTGGTTCACCCCCCAAATGGCCGCTACGGCCGGTGCAGCATGCCAATCGGAAGCCAGGAGCCAGGTGCTTCCTCCTGGTCTCCCATGGGGTGCAGGGCCCAAGGACTTGGGCCATCCTCCGCTGCACTCCTGGGCCACAGCAGAGAGCTGGCCTGGAAGAGGGGCGACCGGGACTAGAACCCGGGGTGCCGGCACTGCAGGCGGAGCACTAGCCTAGTGAGCCGTGGTGCCAGCCTTTCTTTTCTTTTTTAAACATTGATTGATTTATTTGAAAGGGAGAGTTACAGAGAGTCAGGCGCAGAGTGAGAGAGAGGTCTTCCATCTGCTGGTTCACTCCCCAAATGGCCGCAATGGCCAGAGATGCACTGATCCGAAGCCAGGTGCCTGGAGCTTCTTCCAGATGTCCCATGTGGGTGCAGGGACCCAGGGGGTTGGGCCATCTTCCACTGCTTTCCCAAACCATAACGGAGAGCTGGATCAGAAGTGGAGCAGCTGAGACTCGAACCCGCGCCCATGTGGGATGCTGGCACCACAGGCAGCGCTTTACCTGCTATACCACGGCACTGGCCCCATCTCTGCCACTTCCAGTTTCTTGATTAAAGTTCAAACTTTGAAGATAAAATTTCCATCTTGCGTATTTGTTTAACGTATCATTGTGCTTGTCGTAGTGTTGAGCAGAAAGGTGCTTGGTGCCTAGGACTTGACTCATTGGTTGTAAACCGCGTTGAGGATGAGGATTTGTGGGTGATGTGAATGCTGATCCCGTTAGGATGAGCACTCCACTCCGGTTGACGATGCTGTCTGCCCCGTGCAGGACGCTGAGTGACGGTGTCTGTCTGCCCCGTGCAGGACGCTGAGTGACGGTGTCTGTCTGCCGCGTGCAGGACGCTGAGTGACGGTGTCTGTCTGCCCCGTGCAGGATGCTGAGTGACGGTGTGTGTCTGCCCTGTGCAGGACGCTGAGTGATGGTGTCTGTCTGCCGCATGCAGGACGCTGAGTGACGATGCTGTCTGCTCCGTGCAGGACGCTGAGTGACGGTGTCTGTCTGCCGCGTGCAGGACGCTGAGTGACGGTGTGTGTCTGCCCCGTGCAGGACGCTGAGTGACGGTGTCTGTCTGCCCTGTGCAGGACGCTGAGTGATGGTGTCTGTCTGCCGCATGCAGGACGCTGAGTGACGATGCTGTCTGCTCCGTGCAGGACGCTGGGTGACGGTGTGTGTCTGCCCCGTGCAGGACGCTGAGTGACGGTGTGTGTCTGCCCCGTGCAGGACGCTGAGTGACGGTGTGTGTCTGCCCCGTGCAGGATGCTGAGTGACGGTGTCTGTCTGCCGCATGCAGGACGCTGGGTGACGATGCTGTCTGCTCCGTGCAGGACGCTGGGTGACGGTGTCTGTCTGCTCCGTGCAGGACGCTGAGTGACGGTGTCTGTCTGCCCCGTGCAGGACGCTGAGTGACGGTGTGTGTCTGCCCCGTGCAGGACGCTGAGTGACGGTGTGTGTCTGCCCCATGCAGGACGCTGGGTGACGGTGTCTGTCTGTCCCGTGCAGGACGCTGAGTGACGGTGTGTGTCTGCCCTGTGCAGGACGCTGAGTGACGGTGTGTGTCTGCCCCGTGCAGGACGCTGAGTGACGGTGTGTGTCTGCCCCGTGCAGGATGCTGAGTGACGGTGTCTGTCTGCCGCATGCAGGACGCTGGGTGACGATGCTGTCTGCTCCGTGCAGGACGCTGGGTGACGGTGTCTGTCTGCTCCGTGCAGGACGCTGAGTGACGGTGTCTGTCTGCCCCGTGCAGGACGCTGAGTGACGGTGTCTGTCTGTCCCGTGCAGGATGCTGAGTGACGGTGTCTGTCTGCCCCGTGCAGGACGCTGGGTGACGGTGTCTGTCTGTCCCGTGCAGGACGCTGAGTGACGGTGTGTGTCTGCCCCGTGCAGGACGCTGAGTGACGGTGTGTGTCTGCCCCGTGCAGGACGCTGAGTGACGGTGTGTGTCTGCCCTGTGCAGGACGCTGAGTGACGGTGTGTGTCTGCCCCGTGCAGGACGCTGAGTGACGGTGTGTGTCTGCCCCGTGCAGGATGCTGAGTGACGGTGTGTGTCTGCCGCATGCAGGACGCTGGGTGACGATGCTGTCTGCTCCGTGCAGGACGCTGAGTGACGGTGTCTGTCTGCTCCGTGCAGGACGCTGAGTGACGGTGTCTGTCTGCTCCGTGCAGGACGCTGGGTGACGGTGTCTGTCTGCTCCCGTGCAGGACGCTGAGTGACGGTGTCTGTCTGCCCCGTGCAGGACGCTGAGTGACGGTGTCTGGATTCTGTCTTGTTTCTTAGGTACTACGAAGCCTTCCCGCCGCTTTCGGAGAAACCAGTGTGCCTGCAGGAAATCATGACTGTGTGGAACAAGGCCAAGGTCTGTCCTTACTCCAGCTCCTCGTCGTCGTCCACAGCCCCACCAGCCAGCACAGGTCCATCCTCCCCCAAGGACTGCAACAGTGAAAGCGAAGCCATCAAGGAAAGAAGCGGGGCAGCGCCCCCCGCCGTGCACGAGCCAGCGCAGAGCCGGAGCCACCCGGAGAAGGGGAGCAGACTCGGTCACGGCGCCGCCGAGGAGAAGCCCGCCGTGTACAGGAAGCAGGGCCGGCACAGACCCGAAGGGAGGCCTCGACCTCGCTCCTGGTCTTCCGGCTCCAGTGAGGCAGGCTCGAGTTCAAGCGGCAACCAGGGGGAGCTGAGGGCACCCATGAAGTTTGTTAAAGTAAGACACAAGGCCCGAGACGCTCGGAGCAGAAAAGGTCGGGACGCGCACAGCAGGCTGTCGCTGAAGCACGGCGAGAAGGCCGGCAGGAGCGTGCATGCCGGGAGCAGCGGCAGCAGCAGCAGCGGGTCCCTCCGACAGCTCTGCAAGCGCGGCAGGAGGCCCCTGAAGGAGGTGGGGAGGAGAGAGGCTGCGGGCACTGAAGGCCGGGACCTGCACACGGAGAGCAGGAGCGACCGGGAGTACAAGGAGGAGCCGCTGTGGTACACCGAGCCCATCGCCGAGTATTTCGTTCCTCTGAGCAGGAAGAGTAAACTGGAGACCACGTACCGAGCCAGGCAGGAGGTGAGCGAGCTGACGGCGGAGGCGGTGGAAGAGCTGTCTGAGTCCGTGCACGGTCTCTGTATCAGCAACAATAATATTCATAAAACATACCTCGCAGCAGGTACTTTCATTGATGGTCATTTTGTAGAAATGCCTGCGGTTATAAATGAGGACATTGACCTCGCTGGGACCTCATTATGTTCTCTGCCAGAGGACAACCAGTACCTGGGTGATATTCATCTGTCAGAATTAACGCACTTCTATGAAGTGGATATTGATCAATCCATGTTGGATCCTGGTGCCTCAGAAACAATGCAAGGAGAAAGTCGGATTTTGAATATGATTCGACAGAAAAGCAAAGAGAATGCAGATTTTGAGGCAGAATGTTGCATAGTGTTAGATGGTATGGAGTTGCAAGGGGAACGTGCAATATGGACAGACTCGACCAGCTCCGTGGGCGCCGAGGGCCTATTCCTGCAAGACCTCGGCAATCTGGCTCAGTTTTGGGAGTGCTGCTCATCCAGCTCTGGCGATGCCGACGGAGAGAGTTTTGGGGGAGATTCTCCAATTCGACTCTCTCCGCTCTTAGACGGCACAATGCTCAATTCACACTTGCTTGCCGGCAATCAAGAGCTCTTTTCAGATATTAATGAAGGATCTGGTGGCATAAACTCTTGTTTTTCAGTGTTTGAAGTGCAATGCAGTAATTCTGTTTTACCATTTTCTTTTGAAACACTCAACTTGGGAAATGAAAATACAGATTCTAGTGCTAATATGCTTGGAAAGACGCAGTCTAGACTGCTAATATGGACCAAAAATAGTGCCTTTGAAGAAAACGAACACTGTTCTAATCTCTCAACAAGAACTTGTAGTCCATGGTCCCATTCGGAAGAAACACGTTCAGACAATGAGACGTTAAACATTCAGTTTGAAGAATCTACACAGTTTAATGCAGAAGATATTAATTATGTAGTTCCTAGAGTCTCAGCAAATTATGTAGATGAAGAGCTTCTAGATTTTTTGCAAGATGACACTTGCCAGCAAAACAGAACTTTAGGAGAAATTCCTACATTAGTTTTCAAAACAAAATCTAAACTAGAATCTGTCTGTGGTATTCAGCTAGAACAAAAAACAGAAAACAAAAACTTTGAAACCACGCAAGTGTGTGGTGAAAGCAGCCCACACGGAGATGGCTACAGCTCAGGGGTTATTAAAGACATTTGGACAAAGATGGCAGATAGAAACTCTGTGGCTGCAGTGGAAGCAGAAAGAGTTGACGAGGAGCTGTTTGCAACCGATGTCAGTGACTACTGCTGCTGTCTGGGCGCTGAAGCCGAGCTGGAGACGCTGGAGGGGCCCCACAGGGCTGTGCAGAGGTCGGAGTACCACCTGTGGGAGGGGCAGAAAGGGAGCCCCGAGAAGAGAGCGTTCGTTCCCAGGGAGCTGTCCAAGGTGGGCGGGGGGGACTACACAACGCCCTCCAAACCCTGGGGCGTTGCTCACGACAAAGAGAGTGCGTTCATTCTAGGAGGAGTTTACGGAGAGCTCAAAACCTTCAGCAGCGATGGGGAGTGGGCCGTGGTCCCGCCCAGTCACACCAAGGGAAGCTTGTTGCAGTGTGCGGCTTCTGATGTCGTGACGATCGCTGGCACGGATGTCTTTATGACCCCCGGAAGCAGCTTTGCTCCTGGCCACAGGCAGCTGTGGAAACCCGCGGTGTCGTTTGAGCAGAGCGAGCCGCCCGAGAGTGGAGAAGGTGGGCTGCACAAGGGGTTTTCTCTCATCTTCCGGGAAGACCTCCTGGGAGCCTGCAGTGACTTTCAAGGTGAAGACCCCGGACTCGAGTACTCGTTTTCTTCCTTCGACTTAAGCAATCCATTTTCACAAGTTCTTCACGTAGAATGTTCATTGGAACCTGAAGGGATTGCATCTTTCAGTCCCAGTTTTAAACCGAAATCGATTCTCTGCTCCGATTCGGACAGCGAAGTCTTTCACCCCCGGATCTGTGGTGTGGACAGAACGCAGTACCGGGCCGTCCGCATCTCCCCTAGGACTCACTTCCGCCCCATCTCTGCGTCCGAGCTGTCCCCCGCAGGGGGAAGCGAGTCAGAGCTGGAATCTGAGAGAGAGGAAGCCAGTGCGCCCGTTCCTTCTCAGGCCGATGTGTTTGAAGACCCGCAGGCAGACCTCAAGCCTCTGGAGGAAGACGCGGAGAAAGAAGGCCACTACTACGGCAAGTCGGAGCTTGAGTCTGGAAGGTTCCTGCCCAGGTTGAAGAAGTCGGGGATGGAGAAGAGCGCTCAGACGTCGCTGGATTCCCAGGAGGAGCCGGCTGGCGCTCTGCCTGCGGGGAAGCGGAGTCCGTGTTTGGAGTGCAGCATGAGCGAGTCTCTGGAAGCAGATTTGGGGAGCTCGGAAGCAAATTGTAAGATCATGGCACAGTGCGCGGAAGAAGTTAGCGACTTCTGCGGCTGCAGCGCGGGCTGTCAGTTCCCTGCGTACGGAGAGAACGCAGCCCCTTCAGCGCGGCCGGAGGAGGTACGTGTGCTGCTGCGTCCGTGCCTGGGGCGAGGCTGTGCGCAGGCGGGTGTCTGGAGCTCAGACTCGCAGTTCCAGGACTCAGTTCATGTTGTATGAATTGAGCCTGCAGGAGACTTTCTGTAGAGAAAGGCATTTTGAAATCACAGGACTGAAGTTCTTACATGTTGTCTTAACGTACACGGTCTGTGCTTAAAGTAAAAAGCCTGACGTTACGTATAAGCATCCTGACTTTCACAGTGACAGGTCAGGGAGTGGCTGCCAGCGCAGAGCCTGTCTCACTGCCTCCCAGACACTGGTCGCTTCACGAGAAAGTGTGTTTTACCTAGAGATTCTCAGTACATAATGACACGTGTAAGTCGACCCCCAGATACAAGGAAACAGCTTCTACAAAATCTGTGCTGATACACACGCTCATACAAAGGACACGTTGCAATCGTGTGTTAGGTCGGGGGAGGAGATGGGTATTCATAGTTTTGTTAGTGGAATCATTGTGCTCCTTGACCTTTCTAAAGAAGTGGTTTGAGGTTAGATTGGTTGTACGAGAAATAACGTGGCCACAGTCTGTTTAACATAGAAAGCTTACTGGTCTACCCAGTGCTCACTGCTAATGACGGTAGCAGTGCCTGGTTCACCAGCGGATTGGTGGCAGGTAGAAGGCAGGCCACCTGTGGCGAAGCCGGAGTGGCGCGCTTCCTCCGTCTGTCCCGCACGCCTGAACCCCACCCCTGCCACCATGCCTTCTCTGGCTCCTCTGGCCCGCCCCAGCCTGTGTCACAGCCCCTTCCCCTCCTTAGTCCTCTGTGCTTTATGCCTCTCGGGCTGCAGTTTCCATGTCTCGTGAGTTGCCTGTGTGCGTGCTCTCTGCCTCACACTAGGTGACGTGAGCTCCTAACGCGGGGGGCCCTGCCTTGCTCGTTTGTTAGTCCGAGGACCTCGTAGGAAGCCCCCCGTGTCACTGGAGAACCGCTGCCCTTGCTGGCTGGCTTAGGATTCCATGGAGGAGGCCGTTCATCCCCCGGAGTGCTGACATGGGGGGGAGCAGAAACGGTGCTGGTGTCGGCCTTCACTCTGCCTGTCGCCTGCCCGTCTTCCCCCCTTACACCGTACGTACTTGGTGTGCAGGACGTGAGGGCGTCAGGACGCGCTGGCTCTGGATTAGAAAGAAGCAGGATGCTGCGTCATGCCGCTGCCGTGTTCCTTCGCGTGCTAGCGTGTGATGGGTCGTGTGTGAACCGAACTCTGGGTTTTCTCGAAAGGTCTTCACTGCCCAGAACTTAAAAGAGGACGCTGTGGGTTTGTCTGGGAGTCGAGGCGCTGCTGGTTCTGTTGGCCCTGACCTCTCCGGTTAGAGCCAGGTTGGCGCTCACATCATAGATGTCGTCGGGTACAGAGCCTGAGAGTGGCAGGCCTGGGGGGAGAACTGGTGTCTCTGTCCTGTCTGTGATGTCAGCCGGCAAGTCTGGGGAACTCCTGACGGGATGTTCTCCCTTACCCCCAGGTGAAGTCAGACTGTGCAAGGGGATCTGGGAGCCCCACGTAGAGGCCGCAGTAGCCCGGGGTTCCCAGCAGGAAGTCAGCTAGGACGGCCCGGGGCGTGGTGTCCAGGGGCGTGGGCGGGATGCGCTCGTGTCAGAAGTGCGGTTCAGCTCAGACGTTCTTGAATGCCAGCCACGTGCCTGCTGCCAAGGTCGATGCCCTGGACAAGTAAGACTTTGTCCTTGCCCTGAAGACTGCGGCTGGTGAGGAGGGCCAGTTTGCAGTTTGTAAAGAGATCACCGACTCTCATGGAGCAGGTGACGGATTCATCCGGCTCCCACTCAGGGGACAAGAGGGTGTATTCATAGTGAGTAGTCCCCTTCCCAGCAGCACCTGGGTCTCCTCCAAGGATGTCGTGACATTGCGGTGTATATAAGCAGAAAACATGTGTGCATAGAGGGCTTCCCATTGAAATGGCACTTTCTGGTAATCACCCCGCCTTTTAAATTTTCTGTGTACTGTTCATCATATGGATGTACTGTCATTTATCCAGACAGTTCTTATCTGTCAGGGCCTTTGGGCCAGCGTAGTTTGAGTCACATGGTAGGGGGAGTGGTGGAGTGCGCACTGGGTGCCTGCGGAGCCCTCCGGCAGACAGCACCAGCCGTGAGCTGAGGAAGACGTTCTGCGCGTGCCTGAGCGTCCGGGCTGGTGGGGAGAGGCGGTCTGGGCAGCAGGAGCGCGTGAGCAGGGTACGAGGCTGCGTGCGCAGTGCGGAAGGCGGGGAGCAGTCAGGTGACTCAGAGCCTGCCTGCGCAGGTGCAGGTCTGTGGCCACAGCGTTCTTATGTGGTTGTCAGCGCAGTGCCCGGCACTCCGCAGCACAGAAGGTGCGGACGGCTCTCCCTGTCCAGAGAGGACGTGGACCTTGCGCAGATTGCTTTTCCCTACTTCTGTTTAGGGGTGGCCCACCTGCCCCGAGTTGCAGGGAGGGGCAGAGCCCAAGCTGCCCTCCCCACTGCATTCCTGTGGCACGGGTGAGCTTTCCCACTGGTGCTCTGTCTCCATCGACGTCTCATCCCTCTTCTTTTCCCGAGAAAAAAGCCTGTGACCTTTCTTTCCTTTCTGTGACTCAGATGCTGAGTGCTGGCTGTGGCCGGGGCACTGTTCCCAGAGTAACACAGAACCCAGCAGCCCCCCGCCCCCCCGACGGCTGGGGGTGGGGCAGAGCTGCACGGCTGCTTTTCTCAGCCCACCCGTCTTCCGCCCAGCCCTGTTTCTGGCCTGGTCTTTGAGACCGTCTGGTGTTCGCCCACCCTCTCAGGAGGCTGCTCCAGGCGCTGAGGTCTCCTAAGTAGAGATCCCTGCGTGACCACCAGCCTGGGGGCTGTCGGGATGCAGATGCTGCCGTTGGGGAGGGGAGGGGAGGGCCGGGAGAGTGTCTGCGCGCAGTGAGCCCCCGGAGAAGCCAGAGCACCGAGGCGGCAGAGGCGACCCGTCCTTGGCCACATGTTCTTTACTTCCTCTGGTTTCCGCGTTCTTTCAGTCCTGGCTCAGCCGGAAGTTGAAGTCCACGTTCTGCAGAGACCAGGTGGGCGCAGCGCGGCCATCTTTTCTGTGCACCCTCTGAGTTGTAATCGGTGCAGTGGGAGTCACGAGTATAAAACAGGACAGATGAGTGCCTGCTGACAGAATCGACGCCCAGATGGGGAGACAGAAACCCACCAGGCTCCAGGGTTAGGACGCAGGCCAGGGAGCAGGCGAGCGGAGCTTCAGGCCCGGGGGAGGCTCTCAGGTCAGCGGACACCGAGGGCTGCTTTCTGCCAGGCCTCGTGCCTGGGAGTGCCACAGGTAGGTGCTGTCCCAGCAGGCGGCTGCCCTCCTCTGGGCCTGGGCCCCTCGGCCCGCCCCCTGCCCTCCTCTGGGCCTGGGCCCCTCGGCCCGCCCCCGGTCCAGTCCCTTCCTCACCCCTTGCCCCACAGCCAAGAGAAGATTAAGACAAGCCGTGTAATTAAACTCACGAATAAAACGGATCGTCCACAACCTGCCCAGGCAAACGGTAGGATTGTGTCGGGGCCCGGCCCGGCCCGTCTCTGCCTGGGAGTGCAGGTGGGTGGTAGAGAGAGCTGTGGCCAGGGCCGCCTTCCTTGCTCTCTGATCGTGCTGGGTAACTCACAGAACAGGTAAGGCCTTTCCAGAAAGGTGTCGGGGTGCTGGGAGCTGCGCACCAGGTGCCGCCGCCACCGCCGGGGTAACTGCAGACCTGCGTTCAGCCTAGCCTCGTCGCTTCCGCTGGCTTTGGCATGTTTTTCTGACAGCAGCACCAGTTTTTAGCGTTGAGATAGGTCACAGGAGAAAATAGAGCTGACCAACCAGTCTGGGTGGCGAGTGCAGTCCTTCCATTTAGGGCTGTTTCTGAAAAGGTACCTTGTGGAAGCCAAAGTGGTTTAGTTACTGGTGGAGAGCGCAGGTGACCGAATCGCGTGGTTCCAGACCGTGAAGCAGTTCACGGGGAGACACACAACGAAGTCCAGCGACAGCTGATGGTCTCTGGTTTCTAAGGCGGTTCAGCTCTTAAACCTGAGCATCCAACGGAGCATCTCTTGAGTCAGTGTAGGTCACGGCGTGGGGTCCAGGAGGGGCATAGATGCAGGCAGGCCTGGCCCGGGCCCAGGGAGGAAGCTGGATGGCAAGGGCTACGCTGACCACCCCAGGGTCTTGTGGAAGCCAGAGCTGGACACAAACCTGGTGACTATTCACGAAGACTGTCCTTGGCCACAGCTGCTCCCTGTCGCCGTCTTCCCAGTCTGGCTGCCACCAGCCAGGACTTGGAGTTCCCCTGTGAGGGTGCCTGGCTTTGGCCTCTGTTCCCTGTTGTGGGCCTGTGCGCCTTCTGCCAAGGCCCTGGACACCCTCCTCCTCCCAGGAGTCACTCCCTCGTCTCATTGGGGTGACTCTTTCCTGTTTTGAGTTTGTAATTTAGTTTTTGTCTTAGCATCATTCTGGTCCTCACCAGATAACTTTGTTGTGAGGACATTTGAGTGATCCTGCCTGTAAGGATTCGCTTTAAAGACTGATGTTTAGCCGGTGGTCCTGCAGCGGAGTACCGGGTTCAGTTCCCAGCCGCTGCTCCTCGTTCTAATGCAGACCCTGTGAGGAGATGCTAATGGCTAGTGGCTCAAGGCAGTACCGCCCACGTAGGAGGCCTGGGTTGAGTTCCAGCTCTGGACTTTGCGCTAGTCCAGCCCTGGCCATTGTGGGTATTTGGAGAATGAACCAGCAGAAGGGGGCACACACTTGCTTGCTGTCTCATTTTCCTCTCATAATTTTTTTAAAAGATCTTATTTATTTATTTGCGAGGTAGAGTTACAGACAGTGAGAGGGAGAGACAGAAAGTCTTCCTTCCACTGGTTCACTCCCCAGATGGCTGCAACGACCGGAGCTGCGCCGCTCTGAAGCCAGGAGCTTCTTCCCCGTCTCCCTTGTGGGTGCAGGGCCCAAGCACTTGGGCCATCTTCCACTGCTTGCCCAGGCCAGAGCAGAGAGCTGGATTGGAAGAGGGGCAGCCAGGACTAGGACCGGCGCCCATATGGGATGCCAGTGCCACAGGCAGAGGATTAACCTACTGCACCACGGAGCTGGCCCCGTCAAATAATTTTTTATTTGAAGATTTATTTATTCACTTGAAAAATCGCAGTTACACAGAGAAGGAGAGTCAGGGAGAGGGAGAGGGAGGGGTCCTCTATCTACCAGTTCACTCCCCAATTGGCCGCAACGGCTGGAGCTGCACCGGTGCAAAGCCAGGAGCTTCTTCCTGGTCTCCCACGCGGGTGCAGGGCCCAAGGACTTGGGCCATCCTCCACTGCCCTCCCAGGCCACAGCAGAGAGCTGGATTGGAAGTGGAGCAGCTGGGACTCAAACCGGTGCCCAGATGGGATGCCAGCACTGCAAGCAGCGGCCTTACCTGCTACGGCACAGCGCCAGCCCCTAATTTTTTATTTTTCAGCATGTTTTAACATTTAATTGAAAGTTTATATAAGGTGATTCTCTCTTATTTAAAAAAAAAAAGTTATTTATTTGAAAGGCAGAATTACAGAGAGGAAGAGGCAGAGAGAGATGTCTTCCGTCTGCTGGTTCTTTCCCCAAAGGCCAGGGCTGGGCCAAGCCAAAGCTGAGCTTCATGTGGGTCTTCCATGTGGGTGCAGGGACCCAAGCACTTGGGTCATTGTCCATTGCTTTCCCAGGCCTTTAGCAGAGAGCTGGATTGGAAGTGGAGCAGCTGGGATTCGAACTGGCGCCCATATGGGATGCCGGCACTGCAGGTGACAGCATAACCTGCTGGGCCATAGTGCCAGCCCGTCAAGTAAATAATTTTTAATTGTTTCTAAATGTGTTTCTGTTCCATTTCTTTTTTTTTTTTTATATTTATTTATTTATTTGGAAGTTAGAGTTACAGAGAGGCAGAGGCAGAGGCAGAGAGAGAGGTCTCCCATCTGCTGGTTCACTCCCCAGATGACTGCAAAGGCCAGAGCTGCACTGATTTGAAGCCAGGAGCTTCTTCCGGTTCAGGGCCCAAGGACCCAGGCCATCTTCCACTGCTTTCCCAGACCATAGCAGAGAGCTGGATGGGAAGTGGAGCAGCCGGGACTCGAGCCGGCACCCATGTGGGATGCTGGCACTGCAGGCGGCGGCTTTCCCCGCTACACCACAGCACCTGTTCCATTTCTTGACCCCCTTCTGCTGACCGTGAGGGAGAAGAGGCTCCCTGTTCTCCCTGGAGCACCACATGCTGGTAGTGGGTCAAGGCTGTTCCCTCTCTGCGCTTCTGAAATCTAGATTTTGCCATACTTAGGAATATTTCCTATTATGTTGTGTTTTTGCATTGTAGGGCTTTTGTTAAGGTTTTTGTTCGACTTCCAGTATAAGTGCCTTTTGAAAAGAATGTCCAGGGGCCGGCGCCTGCAGAGCCAGCATCCCGTATGGACACCAGTTCGAGTCCTGGCTGCTGCACTTCCCATCCAGCTCTCTGCTGTGGCCTGGGAAAGCAGTGGAAGATGGCCCAAGTCCTCGGGCCCCTGCACCCACGTGGGAGACCTGGGAGAAGTTCCTAGCTCCTGGCTTTGGATCGGCCCAGCTCCGATCACTGAGGCCAACTGGGGAGTGAACCAGCAGATGGACGACCTCTCTCTCTGTCTCTGTCTGTCTGCCTTTCCTTCTCTCTGTGTGTAACCCTGACTTTCAAATAAATAAATACATCTTAAAAAAAAAAAAGCGCGTCCGTAAATTGCGGTGAATGCATTGGCTGTTTCATCCCTCTTACCCAGAACAATGAAAACCGCCCGTCATGTTCCCGAGTTGGTGGGGCTTGAAAGCCGTCGTCTCTGGAGTTCGTGACTTTGTGACTTTGTGTTTGTGTTTGGCTTCATCCAGCAGTTCCCTCTGTTGAGCGCTGACGTGCAAGGACTGAGCGGAAGTCGAGAGCAGCAGACCTGGTGGGAGAAAGCCTTGTACCCCCCTCTTTTTCCTGCGTCAGAGTGCGAAGGTAAGGCGACCGTTCACGCGCTCCGAGTTCTAAGTCATTCATAGCAGTGTTATTTTGCTGTGACTATCAGCAAGAAACATGTACAAGGCGTTTCTATGTGACTGGCACTTTGTCACCTCCTGGAGCCACCAGTGGATGAGAACTGGTCCCTGTTCCTCAACACAGCCACAGCCCGCGGAGGCGAGGCATGGGCGTGGTGAGAACAGTGCCCCTGTCTGGTGGAGGCGGGCGGTGCCGAGGCAGCTGGGGAGGAGCCTGGCGGGCGTTGGGAGCTTGGCTGACGCAGGCAGGGCAGGCTGTTGGAAGTATTTCAGAGTGTGGGTGTTCAGGTCAGGTGCGCGTGGCACCTTGCTGCTGCAGTGCAGGTGGGAGGCGTGGACTGAGGGCAGCCGACGGGCTGCGTAGGCTCTCGCAGTGGTTTGGCTGGGACAGGACAAGGCCTGGGCCAAGGCAGTAGCCGTGTGGGTGGATAAAGGGGCGACGTGAAGGAGGTTTGTAGAGATGTTTGCTGAGTGACTTTCCACAAGGGGCCGGAGGTGTCTGCGCCTCGTGGACGTGGCCAGGGAGGAGGGGCCGGAGACATCTGCGCCTCGTGGACGTGGCCAGGGAGGAGGGGCGGAGAGGTCTGCGCCTCGTGGACGCGGCTAGCGTGGGAGATTGGGTGTGGAGGAGGCAGCCTGTGTGGCGCAGCTCCAGGCGCCGACCTCGGCTTCTGTCCGCTGCCACCTTCAGTCTCCTGCGCACCCTTGACGGGTGTGCCGGTCACACGCCCTTCGTGTCTCCCCAGCTGGTTGGTGGTGAATGTGCAGCCAGTGACTCACTAGCTCCAGTGCCCGGCACACACTGGCTGCCGCCTGGGCCTGGGCCTGGGCCTGGGCCGAGTGGACCAGGGCGGCGGGGCGTGGGTGTGGGCAGGTTGACTGACTAGATTTGTTTGGGTGCGTTTGTGTTTCTTGTGCTGTAACCACAGGCAGCTTTTCGCTGTCGCGGCTTTGCTCGGGTACCGTTTATTGAAAGCCTGCTACAGCAGCTGTGGGGGGCCGCGTGCTGCTTGCCAGGTGCTCTGTCTTGTGCACAGGCCCCACCGAAGGCCGGGGGTGCCCCGGCTCAGCAGATCTTCCGGTGAGGAAGCTGAGTCTCGGCTGAGTGATTTGCCCAGAATCCTGCAGCTGGCCGGCGAGCTTAGGCTCAGATTCAGCTTGTGTGTCGGGTGCCCTGGACAGCGGCTGTGTGCGCCTGTGCTAGCGGAGTCCGCTGGAGTCAGACGCGGGCGCCCTGAGCACAGGCGGGAAGTGTCCGGAGCTGTGCGCTGCAGTCCGGTTGCCCGTCGCTCCTGGGGAACCAGCCCCAGCTCTTAGCTTGGCTTCTCGGTTGGCTCAGCAGTTCCTGGTGGGCACCAGCACATGAGTGCAGCACATTGTGTGGTGCGGTGTGTGTTGGTGAGAGGCAGTCTCAGTGGATAAGTGGCAGCGGTCGGAACTCTGAATGAGTCACATGTGTGACAGGGCCGCCGTCTCAGGGGAACGTGGCTGAGAGAACAGAAGTGGCTGAGCAGGGGGCGTGGCAGGTGACCAAGGACAGGGACGTGGCACCCCAGCCAGGCTGACCTTGTCCCCATCTGCAGTGAGCAGGGCCTGGGCCCTCCCTGGTTGGCACAGGGGCCCGCACTTTGGCGCTCTGCCCGCTGCCTTGCTGTGCGCTCACACGGCCTCCACTCAGCAAGCAGGTGCCTGCCTTGTTCTGGGCGTGGCTTGAGGCTCTGGGGATGTCCCTGTCTTCCAGTCGGGTGCTGTCTGTGGGAGTAGGTGCACCTGCCAGGTGAGGTACAGGAACGTGGAGATGGCCCAGGGGTGTGCTGGGGGTGAGGCCAGCAGGGGCCTCGCACGCCACGTGACCGCCATCTCCAGAGCTCTCTCCCTGCCTGTTCAGTCCTTGGAAGCGTGGCAGTGTCAGAACACACAGTACCCCTGCCGGTAGGAAGAGCCCTGCGGGGAAACAGCAAAGGTGGAAGCTGAGGACTCGGGCTTGGGACAGAGCCGACTTGGGATGCAGTGCGTCTGTGCCCACCTCCTGGACCCTTGCAGTGAACTAGCCTGTCTGTGCCTCTGTTACCTGTATTGGTCAGAGGAGGCTGAAGGTAAGGCTGCTGTGGGCCGGGGGCTCTGAGGCCTAAACACGTGCCTGGAACAGCCTGGCTCCCCGGCTCTCCCATCACGAGGACGTGGGCCGCAGTTCAGCGTCTCCCTTTCCAAAGGCCCTGTGGCAGGGGCAGACCTCCGGTACATGTAGGCTTCCTGGAGCAAGCAAGAAAGGGAGCGGCAGCTGGAGCTGGTGTGTGTCGCCCTCTGGGAGCAGGCCGTGGTCAGGGAGCAGTCTGCTCCCCGCTGCCTGCCTCGGTGCAGTGCTGACCACGTAGGGTGGCCTGGGGCAAGCCGGCCTTCCTTAGAGACAGGCTCTGCGCTCCAGCAGTGGTGCCCTGCACTGCAGCTGGAGCCCTGGTGCCGACGCTGGCGCCGAGGTGATGGGCACGCAGGCCTCGGAGCCCTGTGTCCATCCTGGCATCAGCACAGGAAGGAAGCAGAAAGCATGTGGGGTCCTGGCCGTCCTGAACCCGCGTCCTGGGTGGGCCACGTACAGGCCAGGAGTTGTGCACAGCAGTATTTCTGTGTTTCTTTAAAGCACACGGAGACCCGCAAGACAAGGTGGTGATGCTCCCGCTTTAGACACGAGGGAGCTGAGACGCAGAGGTTACATGATTTGCTAGTTACACCACAAGCAGGTCGCGTACCGTGGGGTTGCCGGAAGCCCGTCTGGTCTCAAGCTGCTGCTTGTGACCAAAGCTGTGACTCCAGGGGCCCGGGGCCATCAGGCAGGCTGTGGAGCGTCCCTGTGTGGCCGGGCAGCCTGATGAGAGGCCTGGCCTGGGCGTGGTCTGCTTGCAAAGGCAAAGGGCTGCAGCTGTCACCAGAGCTGGCCTTGGCTCCTTGATGGGCCCGTGTGGTGGGCACCTGTGGGGCACACTCTAGCAGGGATGGGGGGCTGTCCTGGGGGCAGGGGAATCGATGCCTCTTGGAGCCGGGCCCACACCTGCCCTGCCCCAACCATCGTCTTTGTGGGGTCAAGGTCAAGGGAAGTAAAAGGCTGGTCTGGATTGAATCCAGAGGCTCAGCACTGGTGTGTGCCGGCATCCCCTGCAGCCTCAAGGTGCCCAGAAAGTGCTGATGCTAAGGCCCCACCCAGACCAGTGCAGCCCGAATCCCGGCGATGCTGTGCTCTGGGCTTCTTGAGGCTGCTCTGTGGCTGAGCCTGGGCGCATCCGATCCCAGCGTCTGTTCCTTCCCATTCATGAAGCCGTCTGCCCATCAGACCGCCAGCCTCACTCCTCTCCTGCTCCGCAGACACAGGAGACGCGCAGCCGAGTGTGGTCTGAGGACGCTCCCCGTGGTGTTTGCTGCGTTGCACTCCCCTGTGTGGAATCCATGAGCACGCCTCTGTGCACGTCTGTCTCCCTCCATGCCACGTTCGTCCTCGAGAGCACGGACCCGGTCAGGCTGTTAGCCCGTGCCCCCGGGCCTGGCACGTGACAGGCGTGAGTGTAGGATTGCTGGATCAATGTCTTGTGTTGGAGTAACAGGAACGTGAGGCCGTGCTGGCCTTGTTACCTGCAGGCTCTGCTCCGCTCTCCCAGAGTCTTCTGGGGTCGGGCGTCCTCACTGGGCTGACTTCTCAGCAGAGCGAAGCAGGGGTCTGTTTCATGACTGTGTCTTAATGGAATTTCCCTCTCCCTCTTTTCCCTTCTCCATTCAAAATGATTAAGAATGTTATACAAATGCCAAGGGAGAGAATGGTATAGAAGAATATCCAGATGTTAAAGAAATACCCAGTAATGAAGAGCGTCTGTTAGATTTTAATAGGGTAAGTGGACTGTCCTCCTCGTTGTTCACTTAAAAATGGCCACCGTCCCTCCTTGTCACTCCAGTAAAAACCTGGGAGTCACGTGAGCCCCCGCCCCGTGCCGCCCTGAGTCCCCAGGACCTGTGGATGTAGCCTTCTGCCCTCGGGCCTCCACACCTGACCACGTGCGCCTGCCTCCTGTCCCCTCCTGCGCTGCAGGTGGCCTTGTGCAGCAGGGAGCCGGCCCTGTCACTCCCCTGAGCTCTGTGCCTGGCCACAGCCTCCGTACAGCCTGTCCCGTGGCAGCCGTGCGCTGGACGCTGGATGTCCTCGCGTCTCCAGCCCGACAGGCTGAGAACGCCTGGAAGCTGACAGGTGCAGAGCCTGCGCTGGCCCCTCAGGGAGGGGCTCCTGTCCTTCCCACTGTTGCTTCTCAGCGTGGGTTCAGGCGCCATAAGAATTTTCTCCCAGAGCTCCCCGTCGTGTTGGTGCGACGTCTTACTGCCCGTGGGCCTGTCAGACTGGACATGTCAGAGCTGATGGGGGCGCCTGCCCTGCAGTCTTGGCCTCTGCCTGAGTCCCTCCTGCTCGTCCCTGCCGGCATCAGGCTCCCTCTGCCCGCCACCCCGACCCCTGCACCTCCGGGCCACCTCCATCCCCCCACAGCAGCCCCACGGTGCACTGTCCCTGTGCTTCTGCTGGGGGTGCCCTGCAGAGCTCCCCTCCAGGCGACAGCCCCGGGAGAGCAAGGTGCTGCTGTGCCCATTTTGAAGAGCAGAGAACAGAGGCTCGTGAAGATGCAGGACCGCGTGTCTGAGGCGGGGCGGAGCTGGGCTGTGCACTCAGGAACGCGCACTCCCGGCCTCTGCCCGGGGGACAGCCCCGACTCCCGCCCTCTGCCCTGCCTGTGTGTCTGTCTGTCTGCTCTCACTTTGTGTGGCTTCTCTGAGCTCCTGCCTCAGGGTCTCAACCATGCACAGTGCTGTCGTTTGGAGATGGGGTGGGGCTCTTACTAGATACTGCGACCTGCATCCAGTGTCCTGGGGGCCGGAAGCTGACCTTCTGGTGCAAGGGGGACAGTCCCACGTGACAGCGTCATCCCTAGAAACCACTCGGCAGTGGTAGGACCCCAGCACGCACGGAGGAGAGGCCTCGGGCACATCTGCCCGGCACCCAGTGCGCCCTCCTGTCCCCAGGGCGCCCCCACAGCCCTGTTTGTGGGTGTCCCTGCGCCAGAAGTCTGTCGATGTGCCCCTCGGCTGGCCTGTGAGCCCGGGAGGCAGCGGCCGAGCCTGCTGGGGCGAGCTGCCTGCGCTGCAGCAGGCCCTCCAAGGCTTGC